CATTCATGTGACTAAGTCCCTCCTACTACAGGTTTTCTTCAAAGATTATCCTGTACTTCGCTCCATCCACTGGGAATTTTGCATTTCTGCACGAGAAAAGCGTCCCCACACTTCTCAAGCTGATTTGTATTGACAGTTTTCCCTCAAATATATGTTTCATTTTGGTTTCATCTGGGCAGAGCATCTCCTTAAACAAGCTTAGATGTCTTTCTTTCCATCAAACTTTTCTTCTCACCAGTCCGCAATAAGAAAACCGATTTGTGGAGAGCGCAGGTTATATGTATCCAAATCTTTTGCTCCTAAGGTGAACTTCTTATGGCAGTTGGGTGTAGTGGGATTAACATGGAGCAGAAGACAAACACTTGTCACAAGTAAGAAGCATTTTTATTTAAAAAAAAAAAATAATGAAAAAACGCGTAATTTTTCTTTTACTTCACAGTTCTACTTTGTGTGGTTCTGTGACTTAAAATCCCAGTAAAATACATTGCAGTTTCCCATTGAAATGATACAAAATGTAAATACTTTCACAAAGCGCTTTACACCTTTCTTCTACTGTTTTATTAAGAAAATAAAACAATGTTTAACTTGCATTTAAAAGAAACATGCATTTCTCGATCCTATATCCCTTACACTGGAACAGAATTGACATTTTAAAGCATTTTTGAGGTTTCTCCCCCCCAAAAAAATGTAGACGTTGACAGATGGAGCGGTGCCTTATTTACAGGAAGAATCCAAATGGTTTAATGCACTCAACAATCCTGTCATCTCCATGTTCTTTGGAATAAAACATGCTCTTGAAGATGAAGGAAAAGCACAAGAACAAAATTATTCCTCAAGCTTTCCATCAAGCCTCTGCATTCATGGCAAAGTCTAAAGGGCATGTCAGTCTCGCTGCCTCTGAGAGAGATAATTATCCTTTTCCTGTCAGAGAACAACAAATGATAGCCAACTACGGGGGTGCATTTTCAGGAGCTGAAATTCGTCAATAGGAAGAAGAAGGAGGTTTAATTTTTTTGGCAGCTGTACATCTACCTTCTTCTTTTTTTGTGGTCATTTGTTTCTTCCCCCCCCCCCTCCATCCCGTCTCTCTTCTTCTTGTGGACTCGCTCAATGGCGTGCTGTTTGTTTATGTCTGCGAGCTTCAGAGGGTGTATTTATGTGGCCCTGCATTAACATACCTATTTATAGTCCTTCACTTTCTTACAGTCATCTTTTTTTCTGTTGTGACCATTTCACAGATTATATATTGTCCAAGTAATTTCCCTTTCAGCATCTGTGTTTTTTACCTTTCAGAGAAGGCAGTGAATGGAGGGAAAATTATCACAATTACTCATATAATTGAGCCGTCTTTGTAGCAAGTGCGGCTCCAGTAGCCCCCTTTTTTCCATCAGCCCAAAATGGTTTCATTATATGGGTTTTTCATATTCCCTGACACGGGGCTCCGCTGAGGGCCTGGCGCGTGGATGAGATGCAGGATGAACAGAGCGAATCATTAAGGTCACAGTAGGAATAATTATCCCAGCTATGGAAAGAGCATCTACAGCCCCCTTTTTTCTCCCGCGGCACAAATGCAATGTCCACGGCTTTTAGTCACAAAGAACTTTGTTACAAATGGAGCTTCCACCTTCTACTTATACAAAGAAGAGAGGGGGAGAGCAAGACTTGTATCAACATGACAATTTTCCATCATTAAGACTAATGACAGGCACAGACTGTGGGGATCAAGGGGAGCACAAAAAAGAGAGCCGCATTCAGGTGTTGGCTGAGTGCTGACCTCCTTCCTGTCTTTGTTGGAGACTTAACTCTTAACAGGAAAAAAAAAAAAACTAAAAAGGGTTTCAGACTAAAGGCGCAGTGGCAGCTGAACGTCAAGCAGCCGCGCTCTCCATGGGCAAATGACTTAATTGCCGAATTTGCATGTTTTCCATTTGCTGGGGAATTAATTCAATAAGACCTACATGTAAAGATGTTTAATCAATCATTGTTTTGGTGTAATAATTCCCCCGGCTCACGTTATTCCAGCAGTTACATCACTCTGCAAAACGTTATCCCTGTTTCTCACTTATCTATAAATGCGTTTCCTGCCTGAGGCGCAGATCTTCCCTCCTAACAGGTGGGGATGTTGCGACATGCAGCAAGTATGAGGCATCGCCGTGACACTGGTTTCTCTTACGGTTTAGCTGAATTAAGTAAAAGCCATATTTTTCCAAGTCCTTTCTCCTCAGGCCTCACTCAGGTAATTGGTCATTTTGCAGCCAATTTTGGGCAGCTTGGATGCTTGCTGCCATGGCCTGACCCCTGCTGCTGCTGTAATGGGGACAGCATTTCTACCAGTTCACCGGGGGCTTTTTCCATACCGCGACCCCCTTGCCTTCTGGGGAGGAGAGCGCCTCTGAACGCTGAAATGGAAAGAAAAAAAAAACAAAAAAAAGGTGGGGGGGAGCTGAAAAGTGACTTTGAAGTTTCACCATGGTGTCTGTCACTGTGCACTAGGTCAATCAGGAGGGTTAATCGGGATTATTTGTGTTTGTAAAAGAGGATTTTGCTGTTAGGGATATTAGATGTGAACAGGACTATAAATGTTATTTGCATAAAAACAATCTGAAAACATAAGTTAATGTGCAGGAAAAAAAAAGATGCTTCTGCTTGATCTTTCATCAAATAGGTGCAACTCTGATGTAATTGGTTGTGAGAACAAGTGCACAAAGAAGAAGCAAAAAGTGATGTGAAGTGGGATCATGGTGTCACCAGTGCCTAAAAACAAATAAAAATAGCATTAATATTCTACAAATAAATCTTATGTTTCAATAAAGTTTAAAAGTTTTTTTTTTTTTTTAAACAGGAGAAGAATTTGCTGAACAATATTCCCACTAGGCTTCTTTAGACAACTTTATACCAAGTGGCGTTTTAAGATCAGCTGATGTTATTTATTAGAATCAAATTACACCCTTTCTAATTGGATCTGAATGTGACTATGTGCCTGGATTGTTCTGAATTAATCTGAGCAGAAGGTTTCATACATCTGCATATGAATTGGACATGTTCACAAAGTGTCTTGAGATGACAGCTGCTGTAAAATAATTTGTGCAGAAATGAATTGAAGAGAACTTAAATTCATTTTGGCTGCGAGAAGGAAGGCGATGTTTCCCATGTCTATGCTTTTATGTAAAATGAGGTTTTCCTTTAATTTCGATTTGAATATAAATTCCAGCAGTAAGAAGAAAATTGATAGAGACCACATTTGCAATAAATGTAACTTATGACTTTGCATTTATGCAAATAGAAATCGCTGACTGCGCCATTACAATGCAATTTATTATAATTAAAGAGGATTTATAATTGCAAATACAAAATTATTAAATCTTCAAAAATACAAATAACTCAGCCTAACATTATTTTTACTTAAAATATAATTTGTGTATTTTTACAAAAGCATTTTAAACAATCTCATTCTTCAGATTCTATATTCATTTTTTTTAATATCCCGTTTACATACAACCCAGCAAACAAAATCAATCCACATTTTGACGCCACATTGAACGTGAAAATAGACCCAGAATCGAGTTAATTGCGCTGCATCTAGTTTGCGCTAACTGACGGCCGCAAATTACAGGATGGCAGGGAGAAGCAACGGCGGAGACGGCGCAGAACAAAAGACAATTTTCACTTGTTTGATCGGCTGCTTTAAAAAAAAAATACAAATAAAATAAACCTGAAACGCGACCTTCACGGTTTTGACATTTCCCGCTGGCGCATGCTCACCAAATGACGCCTGGATCTGTGGCTGAGCTGATGTCCGTAATTCCATAAATATTTTTATTTGGTGGGATTTCTTTGATTTTTGTGTTTGCTGTTTAAGGACGTTATGCTGTTTGACATTTCTGAAGCGAATTAAACAGCAATTAAATAAGAAGGCACGTCAATTTGATCATAAGTTCGAATTAAAATTAAATGTTCTTATTTACAAAAAAAAATAAAATTAACAAAAAGAAATAAACGTCTAATTTTGTTGCTCTTCACCTGCAGTGACAGCAATTAATTGTCGCTCGGGTGCAGGCGCTGCGGGGTGCGTAAAGGTTGCACCTTTACGCACCGGTTTCCTCCATCCGGGATAACACTCGGTGGATGAGCGTGTGGGGTGGGTGGGGTGGGGGGCTGAGGTGAGCCTGCTATCACCGGACTGAAATAAAGTCGGTGACATGTTGGCGGTTTGGCCCCGCCACCCCTCCCACCCCCGTCCTGCACCACCTCTCCCCCGTCTGTCTCTCCACCTCTGCACTAACCCCTCAGGTGAAGAGCAGCAGGTGTTAAAACACCCTCAGCCACAGAGCTACTCACTCCTAATGAGTCCTGCCTCCGCGCTCCATCCATCCGTGCATGAAGGACTTTATTTTTAGTGCGGCTAGTTAAGAGTCCCGCTGCAGGAAGCGCTGCTGTGGCCCGCGCTGCCCTCCTGCCGGCGAGTCAAATTATTAATGACAGTGCGGTAATATTATCACATGTCTGCCTCGTCCTAATGGCGCTTTAGGAGGCTTGAGAAAATCCATCTAGTATTAGATTATTACTTTGGGTTACTGGAAACCTTTTTTGCAACAAAAAAAAAATTAAGTGTTTTCTACCTCCACGTTGCATCACATAATCACACAATCTCTCATTTAGGAGAACACTCGCGCTATTATTTTACATGTTTCCTCCAAATTCTGCCTCAATTCTGCTAATGGTTTTGCTCACAGTCGTCTGCAGATACTATAATCGTGGGAAAAATAATGACAGTTATCAGTCGCACCCACCAAGTACCCATAAAAAATCTGTCCTCTGTTCTGGAAGATGATAATTATCGGTTGTACCACCATTATCATTGTCGTTGTTGATGGAGGAAATCTTGAGGCATTTTTCGAAAGTAATTCCAGGAGAAATCACTTCAAATTGGCCTATTTTAAGAGAGAGGGGGGGACAACGGGACCAAGCCGTTGGTTATAGCCTAATATTTCACAGAAATCTTTAAATCCCAAGCATCCGCAGGCATCCTGGCACATTTGCGGCGCGCACACACACAAAACGCGCGCGTGTCGTGATGTCAGCCGCCTGCATTTTTTGATAACACATTCTGCAACTTACTCGTTCTGTTTGCGGTTCAATTATGCAATTACGCTGATAATCGCAGTGAGGGAATTTAACTGCCTTTAATTTGTTATTCAGGTGGAGATGATGGAGGGACCGCGGATGGAGGAGCGGGGCTGCGCCTCGGCTCTGCGCAGACTGCGGCGGAGGCGCTGCGTTCTGCAGATGAATCCCGGGGAAATGAAGATCTGCTGGAGGCTTTGCTCCGCTTTCATCCTGAGGAGGATCTCTGACCTCGGGTGGCGCACATCTGGTTGTTCTTTTTTTTTTATCCGTCACGTGATTTTTTTTTTCTTTTTTACAAAGTAAGTGGACATTCTTTGACTTTAGCAGCTGATTAATACCAGGAGCGTTGATAGAAATAAAATCGAGGGGCAGACCCAGTTCTGTTCAGTTCTGTCTCTCTGGCCGGGAGAAACAATCCCATTTTGCAGCGGCTCAGCCAGAGGTTTGACCTGAATCTGACAGGGGAGTCTGTGGACGGAGTTAAAGATTAGGGCGATGGCAGGGAGGCCTTCCAACCTCCAGCGTGAACATAAAGACAAGGGTTATTATAACACGGCTTTGAAAAATGAAGTCAGTCTGAAAATGAAGATTTTCTTTTTCATTGATTATTTAGAAGGGAGTAAATAATTTCCTACGTGATTTTTTTTAAATAAAAATGCAAATATGTTTTTATTATTATTTTAGAAATTTTTTTATTGTATTTTGCCACAGCTTAAAAAAAATATTGGTTGAATGAAAATAAATTGAAATGCTTATCTGACTTCGCTGCATATAAATTTGATCTGAAATGTATTCACCTCAGATCTTGTAACCTGTAGGAAACTTTACTTTTCCTTCCAAGCAGCTAGACCTCCCATGTTTTGAAGTAAATCTTTAAAGATTATTTTCTTCTTCTTCTTTTTTATGTTCTGTATTACGTATCTGTTGTTGAAATTTATTTAAAGAAGTAAGATGGAAGATTTAACATAACACCTGTGACCATCACAAAGATCGCACAGCGTACAACCACTAAATTACGTAATTCTATTTTTATTATTATTATCATTATTTTATTTTTTAATGCAATGGTTAAAACGAGACAAACAGAAAGTGATAGATGTCACTTGAAAACGAAGCTCTTGGAAAACATTTGCATGCATCACAAAAATAAACCTAGATCCCATAAAGTATGCAGAGGGGAGAGGCTACTTTAAAATATTGGATTAGTTTAATTGCATGCAGCAGATTATTTCAAACTGTTATGATGGTTTACTAACGTTCTGGGTGTCATGCTCCACCACCAGGCCCAATACCTGAGCCTGCAAATCCTCGTCCTTTTGCTGCAGGTGTAACTGACACCTCAGGTTGCTCTCCGTGTTAAATACATGACTAATTACAGACCTACTTATGAAAATTGAACGCCAGTGTTATGCTAATACACGCCGTCCTCCTGATGGCACATTAGGAGCTTTAATCAAAAAGTGCTTTAATCAGACTGGCCAGCAGACAAAGCAGCTGTGACTGAGGAAGACATGTTGTTTAACTCCACTGTGGATGCCACCTTTAATGCTTGTATGACTGTCATAAAATAGTTGTTTGTAAAAAAAAAAAAAAAAAAAAAAAAAAAAAGAAAAAAAAAAGAAAATCACATGTAGACTATATGAAAAAGAAAAGATCTAAGGTTCTGTGGTTTTTCCTTGACTTTGTCAGGTTCTTCGGACCCCAGCCCCACACTCACCAATCGGCTTCTCGCTCGCACGGGGTGGACCAATCAGCGACAACCCTTGATGAATATTCATGAGTCCGAGATTCAAACCTGTGAGCGAGTTTGTCTCGGTCCACAGCATCACTCCCAGGACTTTTCCACGGGCGCGAACTGCATTTTCTTATGAATGGAAGGAGAAAAAATCAGGCCGGCTTAAATTGGGACCCGTCCTTTCGCTGAGATCACAGACGGAGGAAAACAACAAAAGCGCAGAGGAGACGGGAGGGAACCGCCAGAAGAGATGACAATGACCACGATTCCAGAAGGTCTTAATAGCCCTGCGTCAGGAAAAGCCGTTTTCATGGAGTTTGGACCCCCGAGTCAACAAATGTCTCCTTCCTCCATGTCCCACGGACACTACCCCATGCACTGTTTACATTCTGCAGGTCACACGCAGCACGACAGCTACAGCCCAGCCTCGTCGTTCCCCAGATCTCTGGGTTATCCGTACGTAAACTCCGTCGGCAGCCACCCCACAAGTCCATACCTGAGCACAGTACAGACTTACCAGAACAGCTCGGGGCTCACACAGACGCGACTGGAGGATCCAGGTAAGCGTGCAGCGGCATCTTTCCCCCCCCCCTCCTCCCTTTCCAACCCCCCCACCCTCATTTAATGGCGCCTTTCTCTGCTTGTTGGATTTTTCTGCACTGACAGCGTGGAACAGATACCCCAGATGTGGAATTAGACTCTCCAATTATTTATTGCGTAACGCTATAAACAATGTATGCAATTAAGGGCAATTATACCTAAAGTACAGCCTGTAAAACTTGTGCTTCAAGTGTTCGCCGTTGCACAGCGGCGCTGGTCGCAGCTGCCTCCTCGTCCTGTTTCTTCCCCAGACAATATCTCCCTTTGCTTTTTTTATTTTTATTTTTATTTTATTTTTTTTACATATATTTCCACCAGCGGCACCGGAGGCTGAGAAGAACACAGTTGTGGAAGGCGGGGAGGTGCGATTTAACGGCAAGGGGAAAAAGATTAGAAAACCAAGGACTATATACTCCAGTTTACAGCTCCAAGCGCTCAACAGGAGATTTCAACAAACGCAATACTTGGCGCTGCCGGAGAGGGCTGAGCTGGCAGCGTCGCTGGGTCTCACTCAGACACAGGCAAGTTAAAAAAAAAACAGTATCAAATACCTACACACTGTTCTTCTTCTTATTATTATTATTTATGTTTTAACTGCATGTGTAAATTGTGCGTTTATTTATTTATTTATTGGTTTCCAATCTTGACAATTTCGTTGTGTCTCTCCTGCAGGTAAAAATCTGGTTTCAGAATAAACGCTCCAAATTCAAGAAACTGATGAAGCAGGGCGGCAGCACAATCGACACCAACGTTTTAGCCACCGGTCGCGGACTTTCCACCGGCTCGCCCACCGTGGCACCGGTATGGACGTCGCCGACCACCGTGAAGACGTCGGTGGGCACGACCGGCTCTTACATCCCCAGCTACACCTCGTGGTACCCGACCACACACCAAGAGTCTATGCAACAGTCGCAGCTCATGTGAGCCGACGCTCCAGCGTCCAGGGACGCGGCGACGGACCCCGCAGCCAGCCGCCCGAGCAGCCGAGGCGTCGGCGTTGACGATGCTCCACGATAATTAAAAAAAAAAAAGAAAAAGAAAAAAAAATGCTGCCGCGAGCTGACACCGAGGCCTCCTCGTGCCAGCTTGCAGAGAGAGAAGAGGGAGGGGGGGAAGCAAAAAGACTGGGGGCGAGGGGGCGCTGAGAGAGCGAAAAGGCGCACAATGCACCACGCGGGCATCAAGTCCGTGGCGGCGGAAATCAAAACGACAAAAAAAAAACACACAAAAAAAACAAAACATTTTTTTTCTCTCCTTTGGCTGCTGTTGTTTACGTTTCTTTTATGTTTATTTTTTTCCCTTAAACTCGAATTGGTGTGAAGAATTCTGTTGTTGAGCTGTAGGCTACATGTTTATGAGAAAAGCTTTTTTTTTTTTTTTTTTTTTAGTTTTTTTGTCTATGCCAGATGACGACCTAAAACCACGCATTAACACCCGAGGGCCAATCGGGCCGCAGCAAGTGAAGGCTTTAAACCAAATAACCGATCCCAGACTCCGCCGGTCCGGTCAGGCCGCCCAGCGCGCAGCGTAACGCAACCACAGTAAATCCTCACGTCGCCGTGTCGTTTCTATGTGTTTGTTATTTAAGTTAAGTTATTCAGACTTGTCTGTGTTCATTCTGTGTGCGTGTTTGAGATGACAACACTGTGTTGTTGAAATGCTGCACTAACGCAAAAGCAGAGCTTTTTTGTTTTGTTTTGTTTTGTTGTTTTTTTTTCTATGCCGTGCCCCGATTTTATGTGAACCAATGTAAAAGGACAGCCGATTCGCTGCTTCTGAGAAAGAGAGAAAAAAAATATCCAGAGGATGAGCAGCTACAACTTGTCACTGTATTTTGTGTATAATTTTCAGATGCGTTTTGTTTTCTTTCTTTTTTTATAATTATTATTTGTGCTGTTACTGGATACGCTGTGAAACAGGGTTTTAGGCTTTTTGTGTATATTACTCGTCGACATGTGTTTTAGTCACCATAGAGGATATTTAGTTTTGTATTGATCACTTAATTTATTTATCTGTTTCTGGAGTTTTTTTTTTTTTAATTTTATGTACATAAAAGTGAAAAAAGTTTCAAAAGCAGTAAAATATGATTTAAATTATGTTTAAACACGGTGTCTGATTCAACCCTCTCTTCCTGTGCAGCACCTCCTCTTCCTCATCCTCCTCCTCTTCCTCCTCCTCTTTTCTGCAGCGCCGTGCAGCTTTAATGCGAGCTGACACAACGCAGGATCATGTTGGCTGTTGTAGCAGACACCATTTGAGCCGCAAAAAGGCGCCCCGTTTAGGTTATGGCCATGTTTAACAATCGGCCCTACATGCCTTTGTCCAGCTTCTGCTCAGTGAATGCGGATGTGATAAAACACTTGGAAAGAACTGCAAATTAGAAATGCAGACTCATTTGTAAAAAAAATATATATTGCGTCCATTGAAGCATAGTTAATAGCTGCACATTAATCTGTAATGTGTAAATTTAAAACCAGAGCTATATATACATATATAGGCTACTAGTTATATAAAAACTAACTAATTAGTTAGTTTTTGCCACTATAGAGATTATTTATGTTCCAGATCTCAAACAGTGTGAAAATACTATTTGGTAAAGCACGACAACTTAAACAGTAGTAATAAAGACAGACACCACGTGCTTCTTGACTGGGCATATGGCATATAAATGTTTGAACTACGGTCCAAGTTTGCATTAATTTTTTATGTCACAAAAATACCTGCATGCGCTCTCTCTTAAAACGAAAAAAAACGAACAAAAGAAAACAAAAAAATTCTAATGAAAGGAAATGTCACGGTTTTACAAAACAGGATAAAGCTTTAAACACACAGACACACACACACACACACACACCCACTCCCCCCCCCCCACACACACACACACACGCATACAAGGATCGCATCAAACGCACTGCTGTGAAAGAGCAAAGTCTATTAAATAAAATAATACAAACAGGTTATTCAGAGGGCAGAATGGAAATAAAAAAAGAATGCAATACTCGTTTTTGTATTTTCATATTAAAACATTGATCAACTAAAGCTTTTAGATCATCTCCTTTTTATACTTACATAAGTAGAAATAATTTGTTGGAGAGATGCTTTACTAAAGAAACGCAATTTATCATTATTATTATTATTATTATTATTATTATTATTATTATTATTATTATTATTATTAGTATTATTATTGTTATTATTATTATTAAGTCGCTCTGGCCTTGTTTATTACTCCTTATATTCTGCTTTCTTTGTTATTTTGTGAACTTGAGGCATTAATGTAGTCCCTTTGTGAACAGCCCACATCATGTCTGGGGGCCTATTTCAGTTCTACCGCTGAGGAAGCAGGAGCACTGTGGCATAAAATCTGCCTACCTTCTCCCAGAAAAGGCGCAGCTGCACACCCCAAGAGGGTCAGTGTTATTTCGCTGTATTCTCCCCTTGATTATACGAGTTGAGCCCATCAAACCCGGTATAATTACAGTAATTTCGCCCTTATTTATTCTAATGCAGTTTCCTATCTCTGAGGTAATTATGAGCAATTTTTTTTTTCGCACCGAGGATTTCTTTCTGCCTTTAACAAAAGAGAATGTGCTCTGAAGGAACTGTTCTGCTGCTAAAGAAAAAAGGAAAGAAAAAAAAAGAAAAGAAGCGAAATAGGTGAGCTGCCATTTTGTCACTGTTCCCTTAGACTGAGCCCAATGTGTGGCTATAAGGCTGACAAATTGCTTGCAGGTGTACATCACCGGGTTGTCAATGCGGAGAGGCTTCAGGAATTAGCGAGGCACAATGTCAGAGTAACGAGTTCACTTCGGTTTTCAAAGCGCTGCAAAACGCACACACATAGGCTATATTGAATGAAGATTTTATTAAATGTAAAATTGAATAAAATCTGTTTATGAGATTCTATTTTTACTGGGGCTTTACCAAATTGCAGAAGTGAATTAATTTTTTTTTTTTTTTTTTTTTTGTAATAAGTTGCACATTCACTCCAGAAAATTAGACGAAAAAGATATATAGAAATCCGGTTTGTTTCCTTTCATTTATATATATATATATATATATATATATATATATATATATATATATATATATATATATATATATATATATATATATATATATATATATATATATATATATATATGAGCATTTAATTTTGTTTCCTTTCATTTATATATATATATATATATATATATATATATATATATATATATATATATATATATATATATATATATATATATATATATATATATATATATATATATATATATATCATACCCGACTTCAAGGTTAAAGCTTAAGTATTAAACGTGGAGCACCCACCTTTCGGCGTGAGTCTGGGACTCCCCCCTTCCCTGGATGCATCGGGAGTCAGCGGGGATGCAGGAAGCTTCCTCCACCCCCCCACGCGGCGGCGGCACGGGCTCCTTCACCAGCCGCTCCATGATCCCCCACAAGACGCCTTCCATGTGTCGGCCCAATGCTATAGCCGCAGAGTTCAGAATATGACTGAAAAATCTCTGCTTTATTTCCCCCCTTTTTATAGGCGACGAGAAGGGGGAAAAATTGTAGATTATTAGCATAAATGTTTACTCCTCATTACGCTGATGACATTGTGCACTCGAGATCTTGGTAATCTTTGGGGGAAATTATGAGTAATTTTTTTTTTTTTTTTAATTTAAAGCAGCAGTTACCATGCAATTCGGGCTAATTCCGCGTAGGCTCCACACGGATATAATTACCGTCGAGTCAAGATGTTAGACTAAAAACTATGCATTGATATTCCCATTTATTATGTACATACAACTTTGACAATGTTGACGCTCGAAATAGCGGGAAATTGTCTTGTGTAAAAAAGGGAAGAAAAAAAATTACACCCCATATTAGGACATCTGAAATTGCGAAGAATTATATAGTAATTGCAGGCTTTCAGATTTGAAAGCCGGAATGCTCCAACCAGAGCAAATGTGGATGAAATTACAGATCAGGGTTTAAACGGGGATAGGGTGGGGGTGTGTGTGTGGGGTGGGGGGGGGTGGGGGGGGGGGGCATTTACAAGTTTCCCAGAGAAACGCAAAACTATGAACCGCAACAGCTTTAAATTGCACTGAGAAACAGACAAAAACAAAAACAAAAAAAGTAGTTTCAAACTGCAAATATACTGATCATGATACTCTGTCACACTTCTGGGCTACATATATCAGCTGACAGCTTACAGAATAAATTAAAGATATAGAATGTATTCAACGTGTTCATACATGTGTTAGGACACAACACAGGCTGGCTGCACGCCTGGAGGCCTGTCAGATACTGTCAGCTCCCCACGAGGTGGAGGGCAGGGATGGAGGGTGGGGTGTGGGGGGTGTGGGGTCTCCATCAGATATAACAACTGCCATGCTGCAGTCCTCATCACGTGCAAGGAAAAGATCCCACTTTATGGCCTCCGGTCAGTTGAATGTAATAATTTGATCATTTTTAATCCGACCTGACCAACACACACTCCACTGAGAAGCGAAAAATCAATAAAATTGATTGCAATTTGCATACATTTTTATTTGAATGTCTTTCTAGAAATGATCTAACTAAAAAAAAATTTACTGAAGCAAATTAGTTAAAACTACAATTTTGCTCGTTTACATTGAGAACCGGTTTGTGATTGTGGCTGAAATAGCAGGAAGTGAAAAACAAAACCAAGTTTAGTTGTTGTTTTTAGGTACGATGCTGAACTTCTTCCTGATCACAACTACAGGTGTCCTTTAGCAATTTAAGCTGAACAGAGAATCTCAGCTTTCCAGAAACTTTATCCATAGCAATCACACTTCAAAATGAGCTGACGTTGAATACACAGTTTTAAAATCAAATTCTAAGGAAGCGACATGGAAACATTTGTGTGTTGCACTGACAACTTTACCTCAAGGCTAACTGTAGCATTAGCGCCATTGACAAACACATAAACGCATAGTTTTACTAAAAATGCATTTCTGAAATCTATTCTAACCAAATGTCATGTGGTTCCTCTGATAATTATGAGGAGATATGATGTGAGCTGACGTCACGTGTCTCAGGATTAATAAGTGACGTTTGCTAGCAAGTTTGACGTTAGCATTAGCACAGTTGCAAAGCTCAAGCCGAAATGACACTTAAGTTTCTGCCTCAGCACAGAAACTTTCTCAAGGAGAGGTTTCATCACAGTTCCCAACTTTTATTAATCAGATGTATCAATCCTTTTAAAAATCCATCAAGTGCTAGCTATTAGCATTACAGTTTGCTGCTGGAAACCACAAATATTGAACGAGGGCATTGACTGACTGAATGCCTTCAGTTAATTTTTGTCGCCGCCCCAAAATTTAGCAGTCTAAATATTAGGATGTAACTGTCATTGACTGCCTTCATTTTCAAACTTGCCAAGTTTCAAATGATTTTAATGAATATTACTCAATGCTAACTCTTTTTGCAGTGCACTGTACCGGCTGGAGTTACAACAGCTCATTCAAGAGTCTCAAAAATTGAAATAATGTGTTCAATATATAAGATATCCTTGGTACGCGTTGCTTCAGTTCCAAGGCGTGTGTCTGCGTTCTCTTCAATCCACGTGAATAATGCGGGTCAACTTGCTCGTCCTCAGAGATCAGAGGCTTGTTGTGAGACGTGAGAAGTGTTTGCCTGATGGTCTAGTTAAGCTCCAGGCTGTCTTCGATGTTGTTCCCGTCTCTTTTTCTCTTGCAAGGCTGAGTTCATAAAACGTCTGGGGGGGGAGAAAAAAAAAAGTCTCCCTGACTCCACAGAGTCTGAGGAACTTGTCTTCTTTTTTTTGCCCTCCCTCATCTTTCCCCTCTGGCATGCCAGAAGCTTGCTGTAGCTACTCATGCTTCTGCTTTCTGCTTTTCTAAACAACTGGTAATGGAAAATACCAAGCACATGCATTTCAAGAATCCCAATAAATTCTGCCAACAAGGGTGGTTTTTGATAAGGGACATGTTGCCATCTGCCCTGGGCAGCATTGTCTGGGGGGAAACCATTGACACAAAAAAGTTTCTGTCTGTTACTCCGTAAAGTATCTTTGTATTGCTAGTTGCAAACAATCTAGTGGGGGCTGAGGGAGTTATGCTGTGTAAGCAATGTAAGTACACTGCGGCTTGCTGACGACACTGAAGTTGGTGACGGATTTGCAGCTTACAAGCCGGTGTTTATTTATTTACTTATTTTAAAACTCTCCGACTGCGATTTGAGATTTGAGATAGGGGAATTTGAGATTCATGGAACCTTTATTCTGTTTGAGAAATGCAAAAAAATATATATTTTTGAAAGGTTTTGAGCACAAGGACCACCTTGGCCAGATATAAAAAAGCACAAAGTGTGGTCAGCTCATTCAATGTCAATGCTAGTTAACAGATAAAAAAAAAGGTCAAAATTCTGACAAGAATAAATAAACATAAAAACATAAACCTTTTTTGAAGAAGGTTTTTTGGTCTTTGTGGGTGTGTTGACAGCAGAAGTGGGGTAGTCTCCAGAGGATTGGGACTCACGAAGAGCAACTTTCAAGGCAGACTCACCTCTGCCTACTAGTGCCATGAAGCTCAAATATGTACAAATAATTACAAAACCAATCCAACAGAATTTTTTAATTAATAACTGATATGTTAGCTGCTTCAAAGGTTTGCTAACTCAACCCAAACCACTCAAGCTAATCAATCATCGTAGTTGGTTAGCAACCCAAGTGAATTAATCCTGCAGAGCTTATGTAAGGTGGCTACCTGCATGAAAGCTAATGGTAGCATGGTGGCTTAGCTACTAAGTTTCTAACACTGTTGACGAACCAAGAAGTTTCCACATTGCTTGTAATAATGTGAAATAAATTGACCTTTTAGATGTTAAAAAAAGAAGACATTTAATTTCGTTTCCTAGTATAGAAAATATAAGCTATATGTCTGCCATGATGTATTGTTTCTATATAAAGTGCCACCAGTACATATAGATTTTTTTTGTCACAAATTTGCAGCCTTGCATTTTATGAGTTCTGTTTTATGAGCTAAAAAATATTGTTATAATATTAATTAGCCTAATTTTATCGCTTATGCCAAATTACCCGAGACAACCAATTGTTACTGTTGCTTAGCAAGATAAGACACTCACCAAGATATACATTTTGTATGTGTTTGTGTCTGTCTGGTTCAGGAGTTCCTACATTTTGTAGGTATTCTGATGAAATATAGTTGGATAAATAAGAATCTGGAGCTTGAAACTCTTTGGAGTTGTTCCTGTTTGGAAACGTGAACAAAGGTTGAATGATGACAGTGGACTGCTATTAATTATGTCAGCATCTCCAGATGTGTTTGCAGCTGTTTCGGCAAGGATTTTTTTTTTTTTTAGCATTTTATGCTAAATATGTAATTATTACTGCAAAAAACCCCAATAATAATTAAGGCGTTTCCTGTTAATCTGACTTTTAATGAGGATGTAAGTTAAAATTTGAGAGTACTTTGATGATATATCCAACTAAACCTCTCCATAAAGAGTACAAATGTTTTTCTACGCGTTTCTGAACATTAAAATGCCACTAAATTAAGGATCTAAATTTTTTATATATAAAAAATTATATTTGAACTCCCTTTTTTGTTGCAATAAAAATAAAAAATAGATTTTTTTTCTTCTCTTTGAAACAAATGAATTATTAAATGAACAAGCACACTCTGAACAGCATGTGGCTAAGTAAAAAGCTGAATGCTTGAGCACAGGAAACATTTTATTTAAATAACATCTGACCATGTATGAAACACTGCTAAAATAAATAAGACCAAACCACAATAAAAAATGTTTCAAAAAACAGGACTACAAGTAAATCAGGGGTGGAACAATCAGTAGCTTGTACGGTGATTGATGAATTTGCACCAACATCCTAAGGAGAAGAGTCAGAGCAACAAAGACTGTAAAAAAAAAAAAGAAAAAAGAAAAAGTTGTGATAAAATAAGCTATTTACAAAGACCTTTACCACTCTTGTATATTTATATCAACTAAGCTATCTGAGGAGTGAATATGCTATTTTTTTCCCCGCAGAACAAATTGAGGTCATATTGCAAAAGGCACAATACAGTTAGGATATAATTTTCGCTACATCTGCGACAGCCAGGTTGTCCTGATGTCAAAGTTTTCAGGTTTCTTTTCCAGAAAATGTCAAAGAAAAAAAAAAAAAGTGACGTCCGCGTAAAAATAGGCTCGCAGCCTCGCTGTAAATGCTTTGGGTAATAGTGGTTCATTCAACCCTCACACAAAGGAAATAAATAAATACAAAAATAAGTGTAGAAATCTGTGTCCATCACATCACCAGCATCAAAATTAGTCCACGGACCTGTCCTGCTGGGTTCATTTCTGCAAGCTTCTGCGCGTAAAGACGCACACGAGGTCTGTGAAAACAAGGTATTGGCATTTATTTATTGTCCGATTAAGAACCGATGCTTTTGTTGTTGTTGTTGCTATTTTTATTTCAGAATATCGTCCCAGCGCTTATAGCCGAGTTGTGGTGATGCTGGACCAAAGGAGGCTGCAGATGCGTCGTAGAGTTCGTCGTTGAATACCAAGAGTAGTTTGCCAAAAACGACGAAGGCGCAGTCGTGTTGGGAGGGCTGCCGCTGCTCTGAGGTAAAACCGAGCTGACACCGTTCATTCTTTGAGTCTGTGGAAAGTCCCAGGCAGTAGTCGACGGAGACGTGCACGGAGGAGAGTCGCTGGAAGCAACGTGTTGCTCCGGAGGGATCTCGCCACTTTTCCACAGCTTCTTGAACTTGGAGCGGCGGTTCTGGAACCAGATTTTGACCTGAACCGGACGCAGACAGCAGCACCGATTAAGCACATTTAAATCTCCATTCGTCAGTTTAATTAGGAAAGTTGACAGCACAAAGCCTTGCCTCAAATGCACCCACCTGTGTTTGCGTAAGGCCCAGCGAAGCTGCCAGCTCGGCCCGTTCTGGCAGAGCCAAATACTGGGTCTTTTGAAACCGTCGCTGAAGAGCAGCCAGTTGGAAGCTGGAGTAAATGGTTCGAGGTTTCCTGACCTTCTTTGGTTTTCCATTAACCATCCGAATTTCTGGCTCGCTTTCTTCTTTCTCTAATGGGGAAATCAAAAGCAATTTAAGTTAGGAGTTTAGCTACTTCTTTTTAGCCAAAACCTTTTTTCTTTTAGCGCATTTGCGAAATGATCAACTACATTCAGATGCATCGAATTCAAATTTTGGCTACAAATAAGTCACGTATTGAAAATCGAGAGAGGAATTTGTTTTGAACTAAACTCAGTTTCTAATCACACTGCACCAATAATTTTGCAATTTTGTTGTCCCGGCTAATGGTCAGCCGTCAATCTGCATCAACAAAAAAAAAAATGCGTAAAAGTCGATCAAATGCGTGCACTTCCCATGGAAGAAAGATTACCTGTCTCGGCTGGAGTAGGAGAGGAGTTGGAGCCGTAAGAGCCATATGTGCCATACGTAGAATTAAAACCCAGGTCGTATGACTTTGCATTAGGATATGGCACAGAGCCCGTGGCGCTGCCGTGGTACTGGTAGGAGCCGAGCTGGCCAAAGGGAGACCCGGCGCAGTGTCCCGGCTGCTGGTTGTTGTAAAAACTGCTGTCCGTCGCCGTGGAGACCGGCAGGGTGGGGGACTCCTGCGATTTGTGCAAGCTGTGGTAACTGTTTGAGGTAATCTGGTTCGAATGCATATCTGTGTTCAGGTTCTCAAAAACCCCCGTCATCTTGGGCCGAGAGCGGCGCAGCCTCGGAGACGATGCGTGCGCGAAAAGTGGAGAGATGTCTTGGCAAAAAGCACGAGTCGGATCTTGAAGCTTTTTGTGAGTCAAGACGCATCCCCGTGCAAACTGGGACAAAAATCAGCGGAAGGCGTGTCCCCCTCTCCTCTGTGGCCTGTGATTATCTGCCACGGTTGGCGGTGGGAGCGCATTTATGAGAGAGTGAGAGGGAGAGCTCCTGTGTCTGAGGCAACCAATGAGTACAGGGCTCCACGGCTGACTACTCCCCACGCCAGCTTCTATTATGTGCTTGGGTCTATGTGTCCTGCTTGTCTGAAGACATTATAACAAACTAGAAGGAGAAGAAACACCAAAGTCACAAAATATCAGGATCATCGTTTATCTCTTCTCTCCATTTCGACAGATGAACAAGAAGCGGTGAAAATAGATATGAGCAAAATAAATCTCCACACAAATGCAGTAAATTGATTGAACTGGCTTTTCTTGTAGTTTAATTAATTAATTTATTTTATCTTCAGATTGTGCTTACAGTGCGTCATGCAGGAGTCTGGGTGTGTTCACTGACCTCATATAAGAGGTGAAGGGCAATGGCCAACTGGGATGCAGAATGAACTTAAAACTGTGCGACTCACACTGAATGCTGTCGTATGATTTCCACAGAATGTTACCACAGCGCACCCAAGTGTCGAAACAAGCAAAATTTCTTCCTCTTTTTTTTTTCTTTTTCTCGTTAATTTTCCACACTTCCTGCAAGTGGACAGCAGACACCCCCTGATGATTTCGCTGCTATATTACCGGTCTATATTTGGATCCTATCTGGTTTTGCTGTCGGACAAATGCAAATAAATCAATGACTAAATGAATAAATGGTCGCGTGTAATTCGATTTATTACACAGGTGCGTTCGTCCATCGCCACAAGATGGCAGTATAGTTCCGTCTACTTAAAGGTTTTTGATTGTCAGTGACTGTTTGCTATGAAATCTATTCTTGTGGCTTGCTGATGAAAACTTGAACTGATGCAGGACAGACAAATATATACATATTTGGCATAAGTGCCTATTATGTTTTACATTTTTTTTGTATTCAACTGAAACAGCCGGTATAATGAACATTTCAGGGTTGAGTGGCTTCATACCAGAATAACAAATCTCAATAATAATAATAAAAAATGTAAAAAAAAATACTAGAATTACAAAGAAAGCGAAAATAATCAAATGACCCAAACGGTTCAAAAGTTGGAGGATGAGTTGAGTTGGTGTTATTTGACCTAAAATATTAAGTGTGACTGTTCCATATCTGATGCTTTTATGGTGTTTTAATAATGAATGGTGACACAAGGGTGAGGCTTTTAGCTAAATTATTGATTTCAGGGGAAATGTGGCTGTAAACTAAATTTCTGCTTCTTCTTAGATGTGGTGCTAAATATGCAAATAGTTTTAGTTCAAGAAAAACTATTTTATCTCAAAGTTCTGGAGAAAATAAATACATTTGAAAAAATACATTTTAATTGGACAGTTGCAACATTGACCTTCCCCAGTTGAGCTACATTGACCTTACACCCATCCATCTTTTATATCTCTTAATGATTCAGTTGTTGCTGTTATTGTATTGTTTGACTGTTTTTTGCAGCAGTGTTTGGGGTGGGAGGTTCATGTTTACATTTCCTTGTGTTAAATGGAGGCAGATTCCTGTTTCTGCATTGATTTGGTTGTCGGCTCTTTTTCCAGATTTCCTGCTGAGTTAGCTGGGGCACTGAGTTCATCACCTTGACAACTCCTCCTTTAACTCAAATCACATTAATAGGAGTTTTTCAGCCTTGGCATAGAAATGCTTTTACACTAACCAAGGTAGCAGCGGGGGCTCGGTGTGTTACTCCATTGTTTCCAACGAGCTTCAAGCTGAAAATTCAGAGTCAGCCTGAAAAATGTCTTTGGGACTCACCTCACGAGTTTCTTACAAACATGGAAATGATCTACCGAGTGTTTCTTGACCTCTCTGCTTCAAAGGTTGAGCTTGCGGACATGAGCGTGTTCTTGACTGGGCAAACGTTTCCTCACAATCAGACACAGTGGCTTTTCCCCCCCTGTGAGAAACTATTTTTATCAACAAAAGCTTTAATGACGAGTGCAGGCCGGCGCTAACAATGGTAAGGAAGTGTCCACTGCTGAGCTCATAACATGCAGAAGTTGGTGTTCAATGAGTCATTCATAGAAGATGTTTGTTAAAAAAAAAAAGGAACAAAAAAAAAGTTCCTTCTGTGTTACTTATTCTGCAAACTGGACAAAAAGGTAAAATACCAGATCTGGCCACTGTTAACACTGAAAGAAAAGCCTTTTACTTTTTTATAGTTTTGAATGATTCTATGAAAGGTGTTAAAACTTTGCAGAAGTATCCATACTTGTCAGAGTTCTTTTTTTTCTCCAAGTAATAACTTGTAACTTCCACCTCAAATTGATTATTTTAAGATATATATCACTATACAATTTAGAAGTAGAAGAAAAATATATTTTTTTCTAAACAGATACGCATCTTTTAAGTGTGAAGTGTATGTATTTAACCCTCCTGCTGTTCCTTGGATTTTAAGGGTTGATTTATACGCATACAAACTATGTAGACTCCTTTTTGCATATTTTTTTTTTTTACTAATTAGGTGACTTCTGAAGGCAATTGGTTGCACTAGATTTTAGGGGTATCAGAATGAATGGGGATGAAAACATCGTCCTCAGCAAACCATTCAGATTTGTCAGAATATGTGCTTCTTTGTGAAGGACTCTCAAAAAAGCTCAACAAAATAAAACACGGTTTGCACTTAGTAATGTGACGAAATTTGAAAATACTTCTGCAAATCTCTTTACTTAATAAATTCTGTGACTGAAACGAGTCTGTTATACCTGTAAGTTCCTCTTTGAGGACCGAAGCCTCACCTAGTAATTATTAAAAATTCAGTCTAACATGACAAAAGCAAAATTGGTTTCCTATTTTTCTGGGCCAACAAAGGAATCCCCAGAGTTCCCAGTGTTGTCTGCATGGGCCCGGTCAGAGGAGGAATAATGAGAGGTCTGAGAGGTTGTGCTCCCCTCTTTGTTGATTCGGTGGCACGCCCACTCCCTCACCACCCCCACCCTTTGTCTGAGTGGAGCGGAGCAGATTTACTGCGGATGGCCTCCTCACAAAGGATCAGCGCCCTGTCACAACACGACCAGGATGAGCTGCTCCAACTTTCACACAATGTGTGTTTAATGAACAGCCATTGATGCAGACACAACTTTTGTTTTCATATCTCCTTCCACGTAACAGGGAGTGTCTGTTATCTGATTGTCTGTTGAGGGAATCACAACTAAGATTATCTCATTTCTGCTGACCTCAGGTGACATTATGCTTGCTGAATTGCATAGAATTCACACTCAAGAAAAGTCAAATACTTGCATGACTGTTTGTTTTAGCCCCTAGTAGCCCACTGCAGTCCAGTTCTTTCTTAACAATGAATAAATCTATTCACATCTGTTTTGCCATGCATTCCTTGATGTCTCAAGTTGTGCATCACCTGGTCTTCGGAGCGTCCCGTACAAATACATAACTTTCACAATATACAAATCTGAGCTTTGCTGGGATTTCTCAACTCAATCCCAGAAAATTTTACTCTCTTATTTTGACCTATTTGCAATTCTAGACTTTTGCGCAACATCAGAAAAGATAAAAAGAAATTTGAAACATTCCAGTTTCTTTGTGCTTCATAAATTGACACTTCCAACACAATTAGGTATCAGTTACAGTATAGATAAGTTACTCTTATGCCAAACAATACAGTCTTTTCCCTCTTTGACTGTAGACCTTAGTATGATTGAACTTCTTGCATCACCAGCTGGTAACTGGGAGTTTTCTTGGCTCTTTGTGACACATGGCTTCAGTCCCTTCTCTCCTCCCGTGCGACATGGACCCAGTTTTGAAATCCAAATATCCAGTCATGCTGTCTCACAAACAGTGCTGCTGTTTGAGCTCCAAGAGCCTACAAATGCCATTATGTTAGACGCCCAGCGAATATAAACAGAATCAAACAGATATTTGTACAGAGATTTGCTGCTTGTAAATAAATAAATAGCTGAACATTTTCTATATTTAATAAATTGCTGTGAAGAAACCTTGTTCTTAATGTAAAAACATGAGTTTTGTGTTTAAAGCTGTGACATATGCTTCATGGGATCTTACAGTCATCAGTGCTGCTTTATGTGTTGGTACACAGCAAGCTGTTAATAAACAGCTGGTCATTTTGGAAATGCTTCCACACCTCACTGACTTTTGGGCTTGAATTCCTCCATCGCTCTGATATTTTGTCCCTCAGGACATTGAAACTTCAGCAGCACGCCCTTCTGGCCCATCAGGGTTTGGATTTCAGAGCCTTGAAGACCAAAAGTGTTCAACATGAAAGTAGGTTATCAGAGTAATCCATTGGAGAAATATAATTGTTTTTGTTTGCTAAACTAGTGAGAGGAACTATTTTTCAAACAGATTCTTGTCCTTTCTTCCTTTTGGGATCACTTTGCAACAGTGTATCAAAACAAATCCTATTCCCAAAAACTAATAAAATAAAGATTGTTTCAAGTTGTGGTGAAAAAAGCCCTTCCGGCACTTTTGTGTTTTTATTATTGAACTGGTGAATCTTGTTCGATTTAAATTAGGGATGTCATTAAACATTCTCTAAACATTCATAGCATGAAAACAGAGTCATCGGCAAATCCTAAAAGGCAGTTCTGTGATTTGACATTTTTGGGGGGTTGGGAGGAGGGGCTGCAGACCTTCCTCACGCGAGTTTTCATTTTGTTTGTACAAAACCGCAACTGATCTTGAAAGAAAGGCGCTGTCACCTGCAGGGCTTCACCTGTTGGACTCGCTTCTGCTCTCTGGTTTCTCTGATCCCGCTGGCCTCAGACTATACGAGGCCAGGCAGCTTCACCTCCTCTCACAGATCCTGTTACATCTCCACTCAGGGCAATAATGGAAGTAACCTCAAAGAAAAGACAGTCAACACACCTTCACTCTGCCAAAGAGCATGCACCAATTACATTGAGTCTGGTACTAAACCTGCTGAAAGTAACAAAGCTATTTACGTCACTCTGTTTGGATTAAGTCTGACTTC